GAGAACTCTTGGCCTCTATTAAAATGATCACTCTTTCCTTCTTAAAATACTTCATTAATTTGACTTCCAGAACACAACACTCTCTTGGTTTTCCTGTTATCTCACTTGCCTGTCTTTCTAGGTATCTTCTGTGATTACTCTTGCTCTGGGTATGTCTTTTATAGATAGACAATAGCTCAGTTTTTCAGCCCATTTACATTTATTGTCATCATTGATATATTCAAATGTGTTTTTAATCATCTTAACTTTTTGGTTTCAATTTGCAACACTTTTTCCTATGTCTTTATTCCTCTCTTGGCTATTTTAACTTGAGGTTTTTGGGTTTTTCCCTCCACATTTCACTTTTCTCTCTCTATGGCTTTGGGATTTATATACTTTATTCACTGATGAGCTGGAGCTGGTTTGTAGTAACTCATGAGAGTCAATTGTGCACATCTTTTCCTAACTTCACATTCAGTGAAGTTCATGTTGGTAGCCTAAAATTGGCCATTGTGGCAGTATTTACAGCACAGAAATTGGCAAACTCCACAAATCAAGGCTTTATTTTCAGAGAGAAAATTGTTACACATTTACGAGCTCATGGCTATTACTTTCTTTTAGTGGTTATGCTCAAAATTTTGGTAAGCATAAGTTAATTTAACAAAATATAAAATTAAGTATCTTGAATTCTTTCTGACAACATAAAATTTCAGAATAATTAGTCTCCCCTCACTGCTTTTGTAAACTACTGTTTTCTAATACTCAAGTCCTGTTTTTTTTTTTTGCAGCACCATAAATTGTACAGTTATTTTATTTTATACAATGTCCAATTTACCTACCTGTTTATCATTTTAATTCTCATCATTCTTTCTTATATCTCAGCCCATCTTTCTGATATCAGTCTCCTTTTTCTTGAAATATATCCTTTATGAGTTCCTTTAGAGCAAAATCCTTGGTAGTAAATTCTCTTGCTCTTGAATTTTTGTATCTGTAAAAAATTTCATTTTACCCTCATTTTTGAAAGATAGTTTTTTGAGGGGATGGGGGCAGAATTATAGGTTGATAGTTATTATCTACCAGCATTGTAAAAACAACATTCCACAGTCTACTAGCTTCCAGCATTGCTGTTGAGAAGACTGATGCCATTCTTATTGTTGTTCTTATACAGGTGACCCACCTTTTCTCTCTGGCTACTTACTATATGTTCTCTTTGTCTTGGTGTTCTTAAGTTTTACTATGATGTGTTTAGGATAGCTTTCTTTTTCTTTATTCTCTTTGAGCTATATTTATTGTACTCCTTGGAGGTATACAGTCATGATTTTTTTTATTAGTTCTAATGTACAGTTATTACTTATATATTCCATCTCCTCCATTCTCTCTAGTAGATTATTTTAAACTCCTGCTGTAAGACCTCCTCCTGTTTCCATCTTCTACATTTCTCAATTTTGCTTACACATTTTATATTACTAAATTTCTGCAGTATTGTAGGTAGATTCTTCACATAACTCCAGTTCACTAATTCTTTCTTCAATTTTGTCTAATCTGCTATTTTACTGATCCATTGGGATTTTAGAAATTAATTTATTTTTAAAATTTGATTCTTCTTTGGTTGTCTTTTGTTGCATGCTTGTCTTTGTAACTGCATTCTTTTTTTTTTTTTTTTTATTTCTAGGAGAGAGAGAGAGAGAGAGACAGCATGAGCAGGGGAGAGTCAGAGAGAGAGGGAGTCACAGACTGAAACAGGCTCCAGGCTCTGAGCTGGCAGTCAGCACAGAGCCCGACGCGGGGCTCGAACCCATGAACCGCGAGATCATGACCTAAGCGAAAGTCGGACGCTTAACCAACTAAGCCACCCAGGCGCCCCTATAACTGCATTCTTATTGTCTTTAAATATCTAAAACTTAGCAGTCCATGGAGGTCCAAATCTACTGTTTGTTCTTTCTACCAACTCTCCTCCACAGTGGCCTTCCTTCTAGTGCGTTTACATGTGAACTCAAAGCTTGATATTATTCTTTTAAACTCCAATAGTCCTAACTTGGGAAAACATTCCTCCAGAGAAAGTTTGGCTCTGCCTCAACTGGTCATCAATGGGTACATATGACCTAAAACTACCTCAGTTTTTCTAAAAAGTTTAGCTCAGAGCTAGAGATGTAGATTCAATTTATCCTCACTACTATTCCAATGCTTAGTATACTCACAACAGTGTTGCTACAGTAACCCAGCCTTAAAGGCATAGGAATGCATCCCTCCAGGCTATCTGCAGAATCTGGCCCTTTCTCTACTCCCTAGATACCTGCTGTTCTAATTCCCCTATTGCTCTGGCCTCAGTCCCCATCTCTGCAGTCTTGATCTCAGTCACCCATGCTTGATGCAGCTTCACCAGGTCTTCTGGCTGCCCTGAACTAAGATTAGGAGTGCTCATGTTATATGTCTCAGGAAAGGTAAATAAAATAGAATAAATATAAGGAAAAAATTCATTAAACTGGACAAAGAGCAATTCCCTTTGCCTAAAATGGTTTTCTGCAACCCCTCCCCTATGCCATCCTTAATTCTTACCTACCTGGAAAGCACCCACCATCTTTCAAAACTCAGCTTAAACATCACTTCTAGGAAGGTTTGGATGACCATACCCTACTTGTGTCCCTACCTACCCCAGTGGGATTTAGGATTGACTCTCTCCTTGCTCTGAGTTGGTTTCTTTTCCTTTCTCTTCCTTTTTTTCCCCCTTGTTTTTGTTTAACTTTTAATTTGTCTTGGGAGAGTAAATGCTCAAAAAATTATGGGCAACTATGTCTAACTAATAACAAATTTGAAAAACTGCTCCCACGTGCAACAAAATTACCAATACATTAAAGAGAAGTAATTGGGAATATTAATTTCTGACCAATTCATTATTTTACTAACTATATACTTAATTTGTTTTCAACCAAATTGTTTTTGACCAAATTATCACGTACTCCTTTGAACCCTACTAAATCCTACATGTATTTTTTTCATAGTATTTCCAACTTTTTATTTCTGTAGTTGTTCCCTAGAGTACTAAATTATAAATTTCTTGGAGGCAGTAACCATTTACTTCTATTCCCAGCCCATAGGAGACAGCCTCATATTCATTATTCATTTAATATGGTTAAAGTAATGAATAAATAACATGCAGAATGATCCCTTTATGTCTAAACAAAGTATGCTAACTCTGTCTCTGTAGGCAAACAGCTTTGTACACTACTGTTTGTGATTTATAAAGCTGAATGTATGTGTTAATCTTAGATAATTGCTTGTGTATAAAACGTCTTTGGACTGTTGTGAAAATGATGATCATGAAATTTAAAGCCATGGTCATTTGCATAGTTCAGAGTTTTTACAAAAAGAGAGCACAAAGGGAGAGAAAGTCGGTTTCCACTTCACCCAGATTTGTACCTTCAAGGATCACTATCTACCTAATTATTTATTACAAAAATACATTGACCCCACCAACTATTGGAACTTGGTGAGACAAACTTAAGAAGTTTGAATTCCAAAAGTAATGAAATGAAAATTCTAAGACCCAGAAATTATCATATTTTACCTGCTTTGCCAAATCTTCCTTAATTCATTTCTTGCCAGTTTTCATAAAGGAATGCTTCTTTGGAATCTAGCAAATGGAGGAGATTGTTGTTTTTCCTAGAATTTATCTCAATAAATATTTACCAAGTTGAATATCAATCTTCATTCATATTGATTCTGTTGATATACTGAATAGAACAATTTAATGCATGCACTCGATTAAAAGCCATTAAAAGCTGAACCTAGTAATTAGGATCCTCCAAATATTAGTCTATCACATTCAGTAGTTATGGATTTGGATTTCCAATTCTGCACAGATTCTATACTTGATTTCAACATCTTGATAAGTATGGCTAATGACTATGTCTGGGTATATTTCTTTTAAACATATGTGACCACTTCCATACTGAAATGTCACTCACTGAGTGTAAGCACAGCATCACTGTGCAGAGGAAACGTACTATCATTATTATTGATCCCATTCTTAAAAATAAGTAAGGTGGTTGAATAAGTAGAAACTGAAGTAATCTTAGGTTGTTTACCAATGTTAGCAAATATGACAGAATCATATACAAATCCATTTGGGAAGCAGCAGCCAAACATTTTTTGGATTCTGTGATTTTCTATTTTTTAATACATTAATTCATATTTGAGAGAGAGAGACAGAGCATGAGCAGGGGAGGAGCAGAAAGAGAGGGAGACATAGAATCTGAAGCAGGCTTCCAGGCTCCAAACTGTCAGCACAGAGTCCAACACGAGGCTTGAACTCAAGAACCATGAGATCATGACCCAAGCCAAAGTTGGATGCTTAATTGACTGAGCCATTCAGGTGTCTCTGTGATTTTCAATTTTTAAAATCCAATTCCATTTTATGTTATACAGTAGTGAGTTAACTGATGAATATAGTAGTGACACACATCTGGTAATATCTAATGGGCATGTCACCTTTCCCAGGGACTCACAGCTAGACTCAAGGGGAAGGTGTTAGAGATGGTGAGAAAGCAGCCTATAAGATTGATCTGTGTAGGTATTTTCATAATATACCTGCTAGACCCCAAGAAAATATGACCATGGGACATGTAAGAAAGATGCCTACTATTGTATGTTTCTCTACCTCCCATGCTTAAGAATTACCTATATTTAGAATCCAAGCCATTTTATCGGCCTTTTGGCTAAGATTAAGTGTAGAATCTAAGCCATCTTAGGTAATGTTCAAGTTCACTCCATATTTCAATGGCCCAAATGAAAATTGATACACAAATGAACACCCTTTATAATAAAGATACAATAGTCTCAGATATAATAGTTTCCATACCATATACTGTAGAGTTGGTATAATGGCAGCTTTCTCTGCTAATTCTAGTTAGTCAGATACCTTAGAAAACTTGATGGTCATTTTTCATATCTAATGGCACCCAAAATTCTCCTTTATAGAAATCCCGTTGGTCAGTGTATATACTTAAGTTAGTGATGCTGTGCTTACATAATGCTGCTGATTATGTACCAGGCACTGTTCTAACTGGTTCACATTGACGAGATGAATTAATCTCACAATATTTCTATGAGGTAGGTACTATTGTTGTTCTCTTTTTACAGATTAAGAAATTGAGGCTCAGAGGAGTTAACGAAAGCATGCGAAGTCTCAAGGCTAGAAAGTGTTAGGACCTGGATGTGCATTTGAAAATTTAGCACAAAGCTCCTTTCATAAGAATATTATACAGAAACCAAATGTTTTCCTCTGTACCTACTGAACCAAAAGAACTATCTGAAAATGTCAGATGAAAAACATGCTAATTCAGGTCATTTTAAAGATGGATAAGGAAGTCAAAGTCCAGGAGAATTTAAGTTATGTGGATTATCAATGTTCCTTGATTTTCCTTGGCTTCGGGGGTTTCTATTCTCCATTTATAAGAATAGGAAAGATGGATGAATCCATATGACATTACAAAATACACATTCCTGTTAAAACCTAGGGTAGAATCAAGTGTCTTAAATCATTGTTACTCTTCCCACAGAACTATTACAGGATGGATCCTGAGTGACTGCATGGTGAATAGCATATCATTTCCCCCCAGTGGATAATCATTGGGCATCCAATCCTCGCACCCTCAGTCTAGGTTCTTTCTCTTCATAAAATGTCCAAGACATGCTATGGGTCAGCAGTTTGAGTCTTTCTTGCTGACCTCCTTTTATTGGCATGTTTACTGCATGAATAGTAGTTTTGTTGTTCAAAGTACAAGAGCCACTGACACAATAACAGTTATACTTTAAGATTTTCAGGTATGACCCACTCTACCTCAAGTGGACAATAGCTTCCACACACCAGGCAAAGCTCTGTCCCACAGTAATTTTATGTAAGACGAAGAGGCAGTAGGTATGGTCAGGAACAATTCCAGTGCATTCAAATACTATCAAGATATAGTATGTATATATTTTTTAAACTATATGCAGTAATTATTGCTAATGTTATATATTGTCTTGCTTTTTCTTTTCTCACCCAGTATGAACATGAAATACTTGACATCTGTCAGGCTGACTGGAAAAGGAAGGCCCAAATCACTCATCTTCGTAAGGGTGGACCTATTCTACTGAAGAATTGATGTAAGAAGATAACAGAACAAAAATCAACATATAAACAAACAAGTGTGAGCAATGCCTGGTAAATAGCCTATAATGCTAAATTTCTGCATAGGACAAAATTTATATTCAAGTTGACAAAGCAATAAAAGAAGAAATATTTATGGATCTCAGCCGTAGATGGATCATGAGGGAGGGAGGAAGGGCAAATACTCTTCAGACAAGACAAAAAGTAACGGAAGAGCATTTCTAGCTCAACAATGTTTTGAGGGAGTTGAGCTCAGGAAACAGATTTCCGATGGACTAGCAGTTGGGTCAGCCAAACAATCAAGAAGACGTAATCAGGGGAGGCCATTTCATCCTTCATTCTGTTGGAGGCAAAACTGTGTTGATGTATAAATGCGCCTCCTGGTTTCCAATTGTTGTTCTCACTCAGCAATGAGGCATGAAGCCTGGGAAACCACAGATATTTGGATCTATGAAGGTATTTTATTTCCCCCTCTCCAGGGCTGAAGAGTGGAAAATACACAAGGGTACTTTATCTTAGTCTTACAAGGTCTCATAGACCTATAATCCTCTTCCTCTGAGCTCCAGGCTTATCAACTTGATCTGTACATAATTCTATTAATAAAAAGGGCTCCCTGGCATATACATCCCAGGCCAGGAAGAAGATGAGTGGATTTCTTCCCTCCTCATAGGCCTTACCCATCTAGCTTTTCTGTTGACAGAAACAGACCATCTTAAAGCAGCAACAATCTCTTTGTCTAGTTATTTAGGCTTCATATGCCTTGTTTGAGTAAGTTTCTCACTGAAAAGAAGAAAAATGGTCTTCACACCATCTAACACACATACACACACATGCACACACACACACACACACACACACTTTTTTTCTGAAATCTCCGTATCATCTTAATTCCTTCAGGACTAAGTCAATCCCAATCTCTTTCAGGGGGCGGAGGGGAGGGGGAGTGAGACAGAGCAATGAATTCAGGGTTTCCCAGCATGGTTTTTACTTTCCTGAATCCTTAGAGACCTCCCTCCCAACTTTTTTCCCAGCTGTAGCTGGAAGCTGTAACAGATCCAGAGACCATTTTAGAACCTCATTTGTATTGTCCTGACACTTAGGAATCTAGTTTCTGTTACAAGGATGTCATCAAAGTTGGTGGGCTCATAACATGACCTACTTTCTAAAACCCATCTGTTAGGAGCCTATAGATTTTCTTGGTTTGTTTGTTTCTGACTGTCTCCAGAAAGAGCAACAGCAATGTTCTCACTTTCCAAGCCCAACCCTCAAATAATAATCAACTGAATGTGCACCACAACGGAGCTGAATATCTTCCAAATATGCAGCAGGCAAAAAACAAACAAACAAGCAAAAAACAGTGATTTTCTTAATCTGGAAGGTGAAGAGTAAGAGCAGGAAGTAGAAGTCAGTTTAATTTATGCACATCTAGGCTATCTCCCATCAAAAACTCACACCAGACTAGACAGCAGCATTAGAAAGTAGAACATAAGATCCACCATTTTGCCTGCCAAGCTTTTGCCACTGTGGGGTCAGGAGGTTATGGTGCCCTGTAACAATCAGGTTTGCAATACCATGTGTCCAAAGAAGAGGGATTTGGGGACTGCAAGCTAAAGTTAAAGAACTCCTTCGCATAAGGCATAATTGCCTACTGATAGTAGCTCTTCAATTGCTCTCTCCATTGATTTTACCCTAGCTCAATGGCTAAATGAGTGCATGTGTGAACACACATAAAATGAAACCTCTATGTTTCCCAAAGATAACCATTCCTGGTTTGGAATAAAGCTATGAAGAGGAGGGTGAAAGGAATGAGGGAAGGAAGGAGACAGAGAAGAAGAGACAGAGGAAGAGAGGGAGGGGGTAGAAGAAGGGGAAGAAGGAAAGCAAGAATTAAAAACCAAACATTCATATATAATGGCTTTTTAGCTAAATCCTGCATCTCTACTTAAAATCAGATGCCAGATTCTATTAACACTCAATTTCATATCAAGCAGACTCCAGCCCAGTTTTACTTACTGACTCAGTAGTTCACTGTAATATGGTTCAGAATACCATTTTACAGTCTTTTAATTAAAGTCCAGCCTCCTCATGTTCCTGTCTTTAATCTGCAATTCTGTTGGAGAATCTTCCTTCTCTACAACTGACCCCATACTCCACTTTACAATTAAAACCTTGCCACTCTTGCCACTCTTACAATTAAAACCTGCCAGTGGCTGGCTCTGACTGGCCCACTGGAAAAAGTTCAGAGTTCATGGCCTGACATACAAGATCCTCTACATCTGGCTCAAATCTTCCATTTCAAACTTATCTTTACTATGCCTCAATGTTTGTGCTCACAAAATGTCTCTTCCACCTCTAGGATTATATCTGCATTTTAAGTGAGAAGAAGAAAAGTAGAAGAGAACAAGAAATGAAAGAAGTTATCCTACACCAGGAAAACAAAAATTTTTTAAGAAATCCCTAAATTACAGTCATTTATATCTTATTGGCCTGAAGTGTTCACAATGTCACCAACAGCCACAAAGAAGTTCAGGAAAGCAAATAATTCCCAAAAGACAACTGCAGTTTTCATAGCAAGGAAGAACAGAAGGATGGTTATTGGGTAGGCAACCTGCAGAGCCCAAAGCCAACAGCGCGACCAGGCGTGGATTTTGGTAACACAAATAGACAAATACATCAGTGATGCAGGGCCAAGCTCTCCATAGTAGCCCACGAAGTTACATAGGATTTTGTTATAACAAGTCAACTCTAGACAGATGCGATATAAAACTCTTATATCTAGATATAAATATTACACCTAGATATTACATCTAGATATAAATATTTTTATATTTACTACATATAGATGTAAACATTTTTTTATAATCTTTTTGCTCTCCTTTCTGAGTTCTGAGACCAAATCATGAATTTTTAACAAATAGAAAGAGATGTATTAAAAGGGTTAAGTCACCATAACATTTACTACTCAATTATTCTTTCTAATTAAAAGAAACTTAGTCCAGGGATAAAACTGAATATCAAAATTATCCAGCATTTTAGCAGACAGCTTGACCCCAGGCAGATTAAGGTGATTGATATTTTTGTGCTGAGTCAACCAAAAATTACACCAACATTTACATAGCATCGGTCTGAAGGGGAAGAATCAGAACTGCTATAAATCAGTTTCTACATGGGAATCTACATTAAAATAGAAAATAAACACATGAGTGGTATTTTTATTTTATTTAATTTTATTGAGTTTATTTATTTATTTTGAAGGAAAGAGAGCAGGGGAGGGGCAGAGAGAGAGAGATGGAGGCTCTATGTTGTCAGTGCAGAGCCCAACAAGAGGCTTGATCCCACGAACCATGAAATCATGACCTGAGCTGAAATCAAAAATTGGATGCTTAACCAACTGAGACAGGGTACTATTTTTTAAAAAAATTATCCTTATGCTGACAAAAACTGAGGACTGATGGATGTGGGGGGGAGGGGGGATGGGCATGGAGGAGGCCACTTGTGGGGATGAGCACTGAGTGTTATGTGGAAACCAATTTGACAATAAACTATTTGTAAAAAAAAAAATAATAATAAATTATCCTTAATCACTTTCAGATAAATCAACTCTAGGGGTGAGGATGGTCAGGAACAATTGTGTCTCCAATCTGACCGGCAACTTGAGCGAGTCACATTCACTAAGAACTCTGGTAAATGATGCTGAACTGTTGCCAGGTTAAGGAAATTGAGTTTTTTCATAACTACATTGAACTATATGGCAGAGTTCCTTAAAGGAACTAAGGACAAATCTCTCCTGGGCTTGGCACCATCAGAGAAGCTTCCCTTCCTTCTTCCACTTTAGTGTCTACCAATTTGGGTGGGCGTCACTCTTTGGTCATTTTACTTTTGACTTCTGCACTATCTTCTCTTTAAAACGTAAGCTCCCAGAGTTTTGTGGCTTTTGTTTTAATTTTAGCATGCTTCTGAGCCAATCCCAAAGATAAGCGCTCAGAAACAGAGAGTCCAAGTATAGTCCAGGAGCTCAGCCTTCCAAGTTGAGACTGACTTGCCATGTGGGCTTCAAGGCAATTCATCTTTCTCCTTCCATTCATTCATCTCTGAAGTGGGAATAATAGCAGCCATCCTCACTTACAGCACCGTTTTCTTTGTCATTAAATATTTAGTAAGCATCCACATGCATGATACAGGTTAGAGATGTATAGGCTAAACCAGACAGATGCTCTCTCTGGCTTTAGAGAGCTCTCATGATGCAAAGACAGGCATAGTCTTGGCACATAAGTACAGGACAGGAGTGTGAATATTTGCATGTGTGAGTGTCTGTGTGTATGTGTGTGTGTGTGTCTGTGTGTGTGTGTGAATGCGTGTGCATGCAGCAAAGAACAAAAGCTGGAACCACATCTTGTTTGCCATCTTTTTAACCTCATGCGTTTGCCTTGATTTTAGGTTATCTTTGGCCATTAATATTTAGAAATACATTTGAATTTCAAAACCTTTGAATTTCACACTACAACATAACCAGATTCTGCCTCCTTTTCTATTTGCACCAAGGGCAGTTATTACCATGTGCCCATAAAGTATTCACATAACAGGTACACAAGATAATCCCCACAGAAGAACAAGGAGCAAACATTTATAACATCAATGAGATTCTCATGTGTTGGTGTTACCTAAGTATATCATAGCACTAGGGTGTTATTCTTTATGGTAGAGGTCAACACAAGACTGAATTATAATGGTTATTTCTGCTAAGAAAACACTTTCTCTGGGAGAAGAAAGCATTGAGAGAAGTGGTAACTGAGAGGGTGCAGAATGAAAGTTACTGTGTATAATATGCATCCAGCTATGAAGCTTCAGCCCTTCCCATTAACCTTGTGTCAATCTGTATTATTAAGAGACAGTCAATTAGGCAAGGTACATTATAATTTTTTTTAAGTGAGCAATAGTTGCAAGTTTTCATCTGGGCTCTAGCTGAGTTTCCCTTGTTTGCTTAATCTGGGCTTTTGGTCTTCCTGAAAGATGAAAGGCTGCCATTTTAGCCTCAATGCCTCATAATATGTGCGTTAAACTCAGCACTGCCTCATTATTTATTAATGTCAAGTTATTATACTTTAGTGGAGGATGGGGGCCGGAGCCGCAATGGTGACAGATGTTCCAACAGATCAGCTTATATAATGAGAAGTTGGGCCAAATCTGTCAAAAGAGGTGTTTTTTTAAAAAACACACTGACTTCAAAGAAATGAGTTGTGGCATCTGTAACATCTATGGAGCAGTGCCAGTGGAGGCGAGTGGGTCTGCAGCCGGGGGGCACAAGTCATGCGATTATTGGAGCTTGCAGTGCAGTGACTGGAACAACATCTGGGCTGCAGCAAGCTGGCCAGGACATTTAAAAAGAGCTCCTGCAGTGCCTCAAACTTTGATTTTACAGAGCTGTGGGGAAAGAAACAGGCTGCATTCAAAAGCTCATGTGTTTTGGCTCACACATTTTGTCCTCGGTCACTGTGGAGGGCCCCACTCAGCTGGGGGATCTCAGGGACAATGCTAGACGATCATTCTCTGTCCACTCCAGAGCTCTAAGTGTTTGTGTTGGGGTCTGGGCAGGGGATCCCCAAAAAGAAGATAAAATAAGAAATACCTCCTGCCAATCCATGAACATGACACTTATTCTTTCACAGCAAGAAACTCTCAAGGGATACATTTGTGCAAGAACTTGACACTTATCAGTTGGTTTTGGATAGTATGCCAGTTGGAAACTAAATAGTGTAGTGTGTGTGTGCGCGTGTGTGCACGCGCACGTGTGTGTGTGTATTCAGGGAGTGAGAAGCTTGTGTCCTACAGTTGAGAATTAAGAATATCCATTTCCAGTATCACAAGGTTCAAAAAAACTTTTTCCCTATTCCCCTCTAGAATATTCATTTATTCAACAAATATGAAACTACCATGCGTGACATAGAATAGACAGCATTGGACAGAGAAAAGGTCTGGGAATGAACAGCAGTAAGTGAGCCCTGCTTACTGCTCAGATGCTTTGGGGAGCATTTATGAGGTGCTCTGGAACTCTGAAGTTCTCCAGCATAGTGCAGGAGGCGGGGTAGCAGGGTAATGAGGAGCAAGCTTCCGGACCCAGAGTCCTTGGGTACAAATCCTGACTTTGCCACTCACAGGTTGTGTGACCTTGGGTACATTATTTAATCCCTCTTTGGTATGCAGTGTTCATATCTTTAAGATGGGGGTGATAATAATAATAGCCTAGTACAGAGGTGTGTTGTTAGGACCAAATGTGTTAAAATATACATGATGCATTTAGAATTTTACTTGGCACATGAAAACTGTAAGTAATTGCTTCTTTAAGACACACGTGTGCATGTATGCGCACACACACACACACACACACACATAAAAGGTGGTAAAGCCATCAAATGTGAAAAACAAAACTTCTCACTCTCATTTCTGCATCCTTCTCTTTTCAGCCCTCACTTGGCCAACGTCTGTCCTGGACTTCCTGATTCCCTTGTTTTTCCAACTTTCTGTGTTTGTCTTTTAATCAACGTAAGCTTCCTTTGCCAACCTTTTATGTATTATAAAGTTTGGAAGCTTTCTACTCCCAAAACACAAGCAGAACCCAAAGGGCACGTTGTACATATAAAATAGAAAAGGAAAAGTTAGCATGAGAGCCTGGAGAGAAGTCACTAGGAAGAGGAAGCCCTGCGGCTAAGGATTCTGAAGTTAAGACTCTGAATTACTAGTGCCAAGGAACATTCAAGAACCTTTGTAAAGTGGGCTTGGAGCAAATCAGACCTGGTATAAGTCTTTCCATGAGTACTCACTAGCTGTGCAACTTTGGTAAGTCACTTAATCTAGTTGAATCATAGTTTCCTTGTATGTAAAACGGGGGTCATAATATTATTTCCTCCCTAGCACAATTACATAGACAATATGATATGAAGTAGGTAGAGGACTTAACAGAGTATCTGCAACATCATAAGTGCACAAAAAAGAGCAGTTGTGATTATTACCACTGGCCACCCACTAGTTAGGGAGGTGTGGGGGAAGGAATGGCCTGCACCGGAAGAAGGAAGAGAAGAAGCAACCTCCCAGCTCTCTGCCTTTCTTCTTTCCAAGCCACAGATGCTTAACAGTGCCTGACAAAGCCTACTCCTCATTGCTTGATAGAAAAAGCCGGGGGGTGGGGGAGTGCTAACGAGAAACCCCAAGCTGTTTACTCAGGAAAACAGAGACATACCTATAATAGAATCAACATGAAGACCAAATATCAAATAACTTAGGAAGAAAATACCAGTTTTTTAAAGGTCAATGAGCACAGTTCTTTGTGCTTAAAAAAAAAACAAGGCAAATACACCAACAGAGCAGGAGGAATTAAAGAATAATGTTAATAGAACCATAATCTTCATGAACTAGTGCATTAGTTCTGATCTCTAAAAGTGACACTCCTCATGGTGGAACAGTTCTGTTCACATATTTCAGGAACTTTCAGAATCATCTCAGTGTAGAAGCCCATAAATGAGTCAGTTTCAAAACAGCACATTTTCTTTTCTTCTTATAAATTCGGTAACAGCAGAAAGGGATAATATGCTCTGGAAGCCACAGTGATAATCCTCCTTATCCAACCTATTTTCACTTTGGTAGGAACGATGGTGTCAGGGACCAACAGATTTTTCTTGAAGTTATGGTGGGTCAGCTGCACAGACGTTAAGTCCAGCTTCTTTGATAGCTCCCTTTACCCCTTCTCTAATGCCAACTCAACTTTGCTTTTTATTGGATTTCCATTACCTCA